TAGAACGACACCAACTCCTGAGTCGGAAGCGTCGACTTCAAGGATGAACTGCTTTGTAGGATGAGGCTGGATTAATACTGGAGCTCTGGAAAACAACATCTTCAATTTTTCAAAAGCGGATTGTGCCTCAGGGGACCATTGAAAAGTTTTCTTGACTGAAGTGAGTGAGGTTAGTGGCAGGGCTGTCTGGCTATAGTTCCTGATAAATCGCCGATAAAAATTTGCAAAACCCAGGAATCTCTGCAGCTGTTTGCGGTTTTCCGGGACTGGCCATTCCAGGACTGCCTTTATCTTATCCTGGGAAGGCTTAACCTGTCCACCCTCGAGCTCAAACCCCAAAAAGGTGATTGAAGGTTGGTGAAACTCGCATTTCTCTGCCTTGACGAAAAGCTTATTTTCTAGGAGTCTCTGTAAAAGTCTCTGTTTCTTGTGTTCAGAAAGATCCTTGGAATAAATGAGAATAACAAACAAGAAGCAATCAAAGTAATCACAGAAGTAGAGAGGCTCAGGTGCTAACCAAACTGGATAAACACTGCGGCGTTGATGCAAGGTCTGAGAGCAGCTTATATAGTGGAGGATCCTCCTGATGACGAGATGGGCTTCAGGTGTGTCGAAGGCTCAGCTCAGGAGGATCCACAGCGAACTCTGCTGGAGACAGGGGGTACAGCTCCAGATCCCAACAGTTACCAGATTATGATAAACCTGTCAATCTACTGTTACCAGATTATGATAAACATGTTAATCTGTTAATCTACTGTTACCAAATTATGATAAACCTGTTAATCTGTTAATCTACTGTTACCAGATTATGATAAACCTGTTAATCTGCTGTTACCAGATTATGATAAACCTGTCAATCTACTGTTACCAGATTATGATAAACTTGTCAATCTACTGTTACCAGATTATGATAAACCTGTCAATCTGTTAATCTACTGTTAACAGATTATGATAAACCTGTTAATCTGCTGTTACCAGATTATGATAAACCTGTCAATCTACTGTTACCAGATTATGATAAACCTGTCAATCTGTTAATCTACTGTTAACAGATTATGATAAACCTGTTAATCTACTGTTACCAGATTATGATAAACCTGTTAATCTGCTGTTACCAGATTATGATAAACCTGTAAATCTACTGTTACCAGATTATGATAAACCTGTCAATCTGTTAATCTACTGTTACCAGATTATGAAAAATCCGGTAAATCTACTGTTACCAGATTATGATAAACCTGTTAATCTACTGTTACCAGATTATGATAAACCTGTTAATCTGTTAATCTACTGTTACCAGATTATGAAAAATCCGGTAAATCTACTGTTACCAGATTATGATAAACCTGTTAATCTACTGTTACCAGATTATGATAAACCTGTTAATCTACTGTTACCAGATTATGATAAACCTATTAATCTACTGTTACCAGATTATGATAAACCTGTTAATCTGCTGTTACCAGATTATGATAAACCTGTTAATCTACTGTTACCAGATTATGATAAACCTATTAATCTACTGTTACCAGATTGTGATAAACCTGTTAATCTACTGTTACCAGATTATAATCAGCGTGTTAATCTACTGTTACCAGATTATGATCAGCCTGTTAATCTGCTGTTGCCAGGTTATGATCAGCCTGTTAATCTGCTGTTACCAAATTATAATCAGCCTGTTAATCTACTGTTACCAGATTATGATCAGCCTGTTAATCAGCTGTTACCAGATTATAATCAGCCTGTTAATCTACTGTTACCAGATTATGATCAACCGGTTAATCTGCAGTGTTTTGTGTTTGTCTCGTCTCCTGATCGTCCACTGTTCCTCCCCCGCTGAGTCCTCTGGGTTTTTGGCTCTATATGCGGTGAGGTTCAGTTTTTATCCAAGTAGGCCTGGTAACAAGGTGGAGACCAGTTTAAAGGTCCTGCATCAAGTTCTAGTTCCACGTCCTGTCTTGGCTACCCTCTTCCACTGAGCCTGCTCATCTGCATCCGCACCTGATCCTGTCTGCTCCTGTGCGTGACCTCCTGGTCATGCTTTCGGACCCTGTCAGACTCTGAACCCTCCTGGGAGCTTGTGGATACCTGAAAGTCTGGATCCTGCCACCTGTTCTGTTCCTGCCTGATCTGGATCCTGTTCCTGTCTGTTCTGGATCCCTGACCAGGATCAGCTTCCAGCATGTCCTCTGTAACTGCTGCACTTGGGGACATACTAGGACTGGACTGTTAAACCAGGTAAGTGACCAACTCAGATAATCATCCTTTGTCAGATGACCGTGGTCACTTACCTGTGTATCTCCTGCAGAGTGTCGGTGCCCCGCTCCCCATCCTGCAGTGTCCGCAAGCCAGAGTTCCGCTTTAGTTTGGTTTGTTTATTTAATAAACGTTTTTAACTTTCCTATTGACTGTCTCTCTTTGAATACTGGGTCCCTCTGTCCGCTTTTCTCGACAGGTAGAGTCAGACGGAAAACCAAATACTTGGAAGACTGTGAATGCACAGTGCAGGACAAACATTTAACCATTGATTACTGTTGCAGAGCTACAGTTGGGGTACCACAGACCTATAAAGAAGCTTTAGCATCACCAAAATCTGATACGTGGAAAAGGGCGATGAAGGAAGAAATGGTTTCATTCAAAGAGAACAATACCTTCTCACTTGTCCCATTACCAGAGGGTAGGCAGACAGTGGGTGGGAAGGTGGGTATATGCTCTCAAGGAGGACGACAAAGGGAATGAGACATATAAAGCTAGGTATGTAGCGAAGGGATACAGTCAGGTAGAGGACTTGACTATTCTGAGACATTCTCTCCAACTGCAAATCTGACATCACTACGTGTGAATCTGCGTACCTACATGCATCCATTGACCATGAAATATACATGGATCAACCTGAAGGCCTCCAGGTTAAATCAGAAAATGATGTAAAACTTGTCCTGGTGAAATCAAATGTGATCTGGTTCCAGAAGGAGAACAAACTGATGAGATAAAATACAGAGAAATGCTGGGCAGCCTGATCTACACCATGACCTGTACTAGGCCTGATATAAGCTGGATTGTCATCAGTCTGTCATTACATATGTCTGATCCCGGAGAGACACATAGGACAGCTATAAAACATGTGCACAGATACTTACAAGGGAATAAGAACTATGAGTTGGGTTATAGCAGGTGTGACACTAAACTCAGGCTGAGAGGATACTCTGATGCCGACTGGGCCAACGATGTTCTTGACAGGAAGAGCACTACGGCCATTGCTTTAGTCTGAGTTCAAGTGTAGCCATCGCCTCATGGAAAACAAAGAGCAAACAGTGTCAACATGTGAGGCTGAGTATGTAGCATTCAAGAGGTTCTTTATCTAACCCCGCTACTAAAGGACATGGACCACAGCTTTGATCAAACAGCTGAGGTGTTTGAAGATAACCATGTGAATCGCCAGAGGAGCAAACATGCGGACCTTAAATACCACTTCATAAGGTCAAATGTTTTGCAGGGCAAAGTTGTTTTGGTTTATTGTCCAACAGAAAACATGGTCGCAGATGTGTTCACACAATCTGCTGCAAGAACCAACATTTAAAAGTTTTGTTCTTATATGTTTGGAAAACGGTATTATGGTGAAAATCTGTCGCACCATCGAGTGGGGGGGTTGAGTACGATGCTTGCCACTGTTGTATTTTTGTTTGGCACTACTTTGTGTAATAAAGTGCAATAAAGGTGGATTCTCCTGGTTCTCTGTGTTCAGCGAGAGCGGGCAGTGTGGCTACCGGCCAAGTAATGTCTCCAGTCTCTTATTTATCTCATAAGTGAGTTAACATTTACATAAAAGATGCATTGGGGTGGTGCAGATGATGGTGAAGTGACCAGTGGCTCCCATGGAAGCGGTAGGAGATCCGCTGCTGAACAATCAACACAATAAAGTTTTATGTAGTTTACCTAATGTTCTTCTTATGTCAGTTAAAAACAGTATATCTCATTTCTCTATTCCAAGACTCCATAAGCTGCAAATAGAGTATTTGGACATTAGAGACAATAAATGCGCTAATTGGTTCTTGAATCAATATTCTATATATAATATGTACCCTGGTCGAACAAAACGTACGTTTCTCATTTGAACAAATGTATGATAACCAAAATTAGAACAAATTATTTGAAATTCCCCATTCCTCCTAAATATAAAGAATTACAATTTAAAATAATAAATGACATGTATCCTTCAAATGACTACTTAAGAGAGAGATTTAAATTCAATGTTGGCAATTGTGGTTTCTTTACAACTCAGTTGGAAACTACTAATCATTTGTTTTATGAATGTAAAGAAGCAAGAAACCTGTGGGATCAACTTCAGATCCTTTTATCTTCTAGATCTATAAACTTTAATTCCTTACAAATAATTCAGTTTGGTTTATATATCAATGAAAAAAAATTGGAATTCTTAGTTAATAGTTTGATGATCGTAACCAGTATTGTATCCATAAATGTCGTTATGCAAAATGCTTGAACTTTCCTCCTTTAACCGATGTCTGAAAAAGATGCAGAACCTTAAAGCAAATAAATTGTCTGATTTAATGGAAGAACTTCAGTTAGTCCCTCTCCTTAATTATTTAATTATTATTTTTTCTTTCCTTGTTCTAACCTCAGTTTTTTTTTTCTTGTAATGTTCATTATCGACGTATTGGTTTAGATTGTCATTGATATTCTTTATTTTAAAAAAGAAAAAAAAACTGTGAGCCATGACATCAGCGCGCATGCGCAGAGCCACTTCGCCTCCAAGAAGATGGGCCGTGAGTCCTGACATCAGCGCGCATGCGCAGAACCGCTTCGCCTCCTGGAAGATGGCCTGTGAGCCGTGACATCAGCGCGTGCGCAGAGCCACTTCTACTCCTGGAAGATGGCCCGTGAGCCCTGACATCAGCGCGCATGCGCATAACCGCTTCGCCTCCTGGAAGATGGCCTGTGAGCCGTGACATCAGCGCGCGTGCGCAGAGCCACTTCTACTCCTGGAAGATGGCCCGTGAGCCCTGACATCAGCGCGCATGCGCATAACCGCTTCGCCTCCTGGAAGATGGCCGCCTCCTGCTGCAGACCTGTGAGCCATGTCATCTTCGACATGGACGGATTACTGCTCGGTACTGACCCAGTTTAACCTCTTTTATTAACCGAACCGAACCTCCAGCGGGGCTCTGCGTGGTTCTGCTGCTGCCGTAAAGTTTCCGCTGAAGAACATCATGCAGAAAATGACAGATTCTACACGATTCTGCTGATAATAAACTTTAGACCTCTGATCAAACATGGAGACATGATTAGTTTCTGTTTACTAAGAATAAAGATTAATTCGGCTTAAACTTCCTAGATTAGAAAGCATCAGAAAGAGGAAATAATCCCGTTTGTGTTTCAGGAAGTGGTTTAGTTCAAGGTGCAGATTTATGGAGGACCAACTCTGCCATATTTAAAAATAAATACAAAAATAAATAAATGCTCGATGAATAAATAAGCAAACAATTAATTGCCCCCGAAAATACCATAAACAAATAAATGTAGGTAGAGATTAAATTATACAGCGTGGCTTAAATTTATATTGGCTTCTTTATTTATTCTCCTTTGCAATAACTACCTTATTTATATATTATCCGTGTTCAACTTTATTTATTTATTACTTTAAGTATTTATGTGCCTGTGATAATAGTTTGTAATAGTTTGGTCTGTTTTTTCTTCGTATTTTTTGAATTATTTATTCCTGCCTGTGGTTTTTCTATTTCTGTGCATTTCTGCCTCTTTATGTAAATGAGGGGGGGGGGGGGGGGGGGGGGGGGGGGGGGGGGTCTCAGAGGGTCACCTTCTAACCCTAACCCTGGGGGCCCATATTCTGACCCCACAGAGCTCAGAGTATTAAGTTAAAAGTTCTCTTTTCTGTTGCTGTTGTTCAATAAAAGGATATTTTAAGATCATTTGGGGCGAGAACATTATACTTTAAGCTCCACTATATCGCCCATTTACTGATTTAATGCGGAATAAAAAAAAATCCTAAATTGAGAGGACCGCCGCAACCAGCGGAGCTCCGATGGCAGACGGGCTAACGGCAGCCAGGGTCTGCAGTGGGGATCGGGTCCTCCTGGTACTGGGCTGATGGTTCTGGTGGTGTCAGGGCCGTGGGGATCCGGTCCTCCTGGTACTGGACTGATGGTTCTGGTGGTGTCAGGGCCGTGGGGATCCGGTCCTCCTGGTACTGGACTGATGGTTCTGGCAGTGTCAGGGCCGTGGGGATCCGGTCCTCCTGGTACCGGGCTGATGGTTCTGGTGGTGTCAGGGCTGTGGGGATCGGGTCCTCTCAGTACCGGGCTGATGGTTCTGGTGGTGTCAGGGCCGTGGGGATCGGGTCCTCTCAGTACCGGGCTGATGGTTCTGGTGGTGTCAGGGCCGTGGGGATCGGGTCCTCCTGGTACTGGGCTGATGGTTCTGGTGGTGTCAGGGCCGTGGGGATCCGGTCCTCCTGGTACTGGACTGATGGTTCTGGCAGTGTCAGGGCCGTGGGGATCCGGTCCTCCTGGTACCGGGCTGATGGTTCTGGTGGTGTCAGGGCCGTGGGGATCCGGTCCTCCTGGTACCGGGCTGATGGTTCTGGTGGTGTCAGGGCTGTGGGGATCGGGTCCTCTCAGTACCGGGCTGATGGTTCTGGTGGTGTCAGGGCCGTGGGGATCGGGTCCTCTCAGTACCGGGCTGATGGTTCTGGTGGTGTCAGGGCCGTGGGGATCGGGTCCTCCTGGTACTGGGCTGATGGTTCTGGTGGTGTCAGGGCCGTGGGGATCCGGTCCTCCTGGTACTGGACTGATGGTTCTGGCAGTGTCAGGGCCGTGGGGATCCGGTCCTCCTGGTACCGGGCTGATGGTTCTGGTGGTGTCAGGGCCGTGGGGATCCGGTCCTCCTGGTACCGGGCTGATGGTTCTGGTGGTGTCAGGGCTGTGGGGATCGGGTCCTCTCAGTACCGGGCTGATGGTTCTGGTGGTGTCAGGGCCGTGGGGATCGGGTCCTCTCATTACCGGGCTGATGGTTCTGGTGGTGTCAGGGCTGTGGGGATCCGGTCCTCCTGGTACCGGGCTGATGGTTCTGGTGGTGTCAGGGCTGTGGGGATCCGGTCCTCCTGGTACCGGGCTGATGGTTCTGGTGGTGTCAGGGCCGTGGGGATCGGGTCCTCTCATTACCGGGCTGATGGTTCTGGTGGTGTCAGGGCCGTGGGGATCCGGTCCTCCTGGTACTGGGCTGATGGTTCTGGTGGTGTCAGGGCCGTGGGGATCCGGTCCTCCTGGTACCGGGCTGATGGTTCTGGTGGTGTCAGGGCATTGGGGATCCGGTCCTCCTGGTACTGGGCTGATGGTTCTGGTGGTGTCAGGGCCGTGGGGATCCGGTCCTCCTGGTACTGGGCTGATGGTTCTGGCTGTGTCAGGGCCGTGGGGATCCGGTCCTCCTGGTACTGGGCTGATGGTTCTGGTGGTGTCAGGGCCGTGGGGATCCGGTCCTCCTGGTACTGGGCTGATGGTTCTGGTGGTGTCAGGGCCGTGGGGATCCGGTCCTCCTGGTACCGGGCTGATGGTTCTGGTGGTGTGAGGGCATTGGGGATCCGGTCCTCCTGGTACTGGGCTGATGGTTCTGGTGGTGTGAGGGCATTGGGGATCCGGTCCTCCTGGTACTGGGCTGATGGTTCTGGTGGTGTGAGGGCCGTGGGGATCCGGTCCTCGTGGTACCGGGCTGATGGTTCTGGTGGTGTGAGGGCATTGGGGATCCGGTATTCCTGGTATCGGGCTGATGGTTCTGGTGGTGTGAGGGCATTGTGGATCCGGTCCTCCTGGTACTGGGCTGATGGTTCTGGTGGTGTGAGGGCATTGGGGATCCGGTCCTCGTGGTACCGGGCTGATGGTTCTGGTGGTGTGAGGGCATTGGGGATCCGGTCCTCCTGGTACTGGGCTGATGGTTCTGGTGGTGTGAGGGCATTGGGGATCCGGTCCTCCTGGTACTGGGCTGATGGTTCTGGTGGTGTGAGGGCCGTGGGGATCCGGTCCTCGTGGTACCGGGCTGATGGTTCTGGTGGTGTGAGGGCATTGGGGATCCGGTCCTCCTGGTACCGGGCTGATGGTTCTGGTGGTGTGAGGGCATTGGGGATCCGGTCCTCCTGGTACTGGGCTGATGGTTCTGGCGGTGTCAGGGCCGTGGGGATCCGTTCCTCCTGGTACTGGGCTATTGGTTCTGGCGGTGTCAGGGCCGTGGGGATCCGGTCCTCCTGGTACTGGGCTGATGGTTCTGGCGGTGTCAGGGCCGTGGGGATCCGGTCCTCCTGGTACCGGGCTGATGGTTCTGGCGGTGTGAGGGCATTGGGGATCCGGTCCTCCTGGTACCGGGCTGATGGTTCTGGTGGTGTGAGGGCATTGGGGATCCGGTCCTCCTGGTACCGGGCTGATGGCTCTGGTGGTGTGAGGGCATTGGGGATCCGGTCCTCCTGGTACCGGGCTGATGGTTCTGGTGGTGTGAGGGCATTGGGGATCCGGTCCTCCTGGTACTGGGCTGATGGTTCTGGCGGTGTCAGGGCCGTGGGGATCCGGTCCTCCTGGTACCGGGCTGATGGTTCTGGCGGTGTGAGGGCATTGGGGATCCTGTCCTCCTGGTACCGGGCTGATGGTTCTGGCGGTGTGAGGGCATTGGGGATCCGGTCCTCCTGGTACCGGGCTGATGGTTCTGGTGGTGTGAGGGCATTGGGGATCCGGTCCTCCTGGTACCGGGCTGATGGCTCTGGTGGTGTGAGGGCATTGGGGATCCGGTCCTCCTGGTACCGGGCTGATGGTTCTGGTGGTGTGAGGGCATTGGGGATCCGGTCCTCCTGGTATCGGGCTGATGGTTCTGGTGGTGTGAGGGCATTGTGGATCAGGTCCTCCTGGTACCGGGCCGATGGTTCTGGTTGGTCTCATATTTTCTTCTCCTCCTCAGACACGGAGCGGCTCTACACAGTGTCCTTCCAGGAGATCTGTGACCGCTTTGGAAAGCAGTACACCTGGGAGGTGAAATCTTTGGTGATGGGGAAGAAGGCTCTGGACGCCGCCCAGATCATCAGGGACTCCTTGGAGCTTCCTCTGACGGCCCAGGAACTTCTAGAGGAGAGCAGGAAGATCCAGGAGAGGATCTTTCCTACAGCCAAGCTCCTGCCAGGTAGACGCTTCCTGCTGACCCTGTTGGTCCGACTCTACCCGCTCCTTTCCAGGTCCATTCACCGGATCTGACACGCCAGAACCAGTTTGAGGCAGAACCAGTTAGAGCCAGAACCGGTTAGAGACAGAACCAGTTAGAGCCAGAACCGATTAGAGCCAGAACCAGTTAGAGACAGAACCAGTTAGAGACAGAACCAGTTAGAGCCAGAACCGGTTAGAGCCAGAACCAGTTAGAGCCAGAACCAGTTAGAGCCAGAACTGGTTAGAGCCAGAACCGGTTAGAGCCAGAACCAGTTAGAGCCAGAACTGGTTAGAGCCAGAACCAGTTAGAGCCAGAACCGATTAGAGACAGAACCGATTAGAGGCTGAACCAGTTAGAGCCAGAACCGGTTAGAGCCAGAACCAGTTAGAGCCAGAACCGATTAGAGACAGAACCGATTAGAGGCAGAACCAGTTAGAGCCAGAACCGGTTAGAGCCAGAACCAGTTAGAGCCAGAATCAGTTAGAGGCAGAACCAGTTAGAGCCATAACCAGTTAGAGCCAGAACCAGTTAGAGCCAGAACCACTTAGAGGCAGAACCACTTAGAGGCAGAACCACTTAGAGGCAGAACCAGTTAGAGCCAGAACCAGTTAGAGCCAGAACCGGTTAGAGACAGAACCGGTTAGAGACAGAACCGGTTAGAGACAGAACCGGTTAGAAACAGAACCGGTTAGAGCCGGAACCGGTTAGAGCCAGAACCGATTAGAGCCAGAACCGGTTAGAGCCAGATCCGCTTAGAGACAGAACTGGTTAGAAACAGAACCGGTTAGAAACAGAACCGGTTAGAGCCAGAACCGGTTAGAGGCAGAACCGGTTAGAGCCAGAACGGCTTAGAGCCAGATCCGCTTAGAGCCAGAACTTGTTAGAAGCAGAACTGGTTAGAGGCAGAACCAGTTAGAGCCAGAACCGGTTAGAGGCAGAACTGGTTAGAGGCAGAACCGGTTAGAGCCAGAACTGATTAGAGCCAGAACCAGTTGTAGGCAGAACCAGTTAGAGCCAGAACCGATCTGCAGGTTAGAAGCAGAACCGGTTAGAGGCAGAACCAGTTAGAGCCAGAACCGGTTAGAGCCAGAACCGATCTGCAGGTTAGAAGCAGAACCGGTTAGAGGCAGAACCAGTTAGAGCCACAACCAGTTAGAGCCAGAACCGGTTAGAGGCAGAACTGGTTAGAGGCAGAACCGGTTAGAGCCAGAGCCAGTTAGAGGCAGAACTGGTTAGAGGCAGAACCAGTTAGAGACAGAACTGATTAGAGCCAGAACCAGTTAGAGCCAGAACCGGTTAGAGCCAGAGCCAGTTAGAGGCAGAACCGGTTAGAGCCAGAACCAGTTAGAGCCAGAACCGATCTGCAGGTTAGAAGCAGAACCGGTTAGAGGCAGAACCAGTTAGAGCCACAACCAGTTAGAGCCAGAACCGGTTAGAGGCAGAACTGGTTAGAGGCAGAACCGGTTAGAGGCAGAACCGGTTAGAGGCAGAACCGGTTAGAGCCAGAGCCAGTTAGAGGCAGAACCGGTTAGAGGCAGAACCGGTTAGAGCCAGAGCCAGTTAGAGGCAGAACCGGTTAGAGGCAGAACCGGTTAGAGGCAGAACCAGTTGTAGGCAGAACCAGTTATAGCCAGAACCGATCTGCAGGTTAGAAGCAGAACCGGTTAGAGGCAGAACCAGTTAGAGCCAGAACCAGTTAGAGCCAGAACCAGTTAGAGCCAGAACCGATCTGCAGGTTAGAAGCAGAACCGGTTAGAGGCAGAACCAGTTAGAGCCAGAACCAGTTAGAGCCAGAACCAGTTGGAGCCAGAACCAGTTAGAGCCAGAACCGGTTAGAGGCAGAACTGGTTAGAGGCAGAACCGGTTAGAGCCAGAGCCAGTTGGAGCCAGAACCAGTTAGAGGCAGAACCGGTTAGAGGCAGAACCGGTTAGAGCCAGAGCCAGTTAGAGGCAGAACCGGTTAGAGGCAGAACCAGTTGTAGGAAGAACCAGTTGTAGGCAGAACCAGTTATAGCCAGAACCGATCTGCAGGTTAGAAGCAGAACCGGTTAGAGGCAGAACCAGTTAGAGCCAGAACCAGTTAGAGCCAGAACCAGTTAGAGCCAGAACCGATCTGCAGGTTAGAAGCAGAACCGGTTAGAGGCAGAACCAGTTAGAGCCAGAACCAGTTAGAGCCAGAACCGGTTAGAAGCAGAACCGCTTAGAGGCAGAACCGCTTAGAGGCAGAACCGGTTAGAGCCAGAACCAGTTAGAGCCAGAACCGGTTAGAAGCAGAACCGCTTAGTGGCAGAACCGCTTAGAGGCAGAACCGGTTAGAGCCAGAACTGGTTAGAGCCAGAACCGATCTGCAGGTTAGAAGCAGAACCGGTTAGAGGCAGAACCAGTTAGAGCCACAACCAGTTAGAGCCAGAACCGGTTAGAGGCAGAACTGGTTAGAGGCAGAACCGGTTAGAGGCAGAACCGGTTAGAGGCAGAACCGGTTAGAGCCAGAGCCAGTTAGAGGCAGAACCGGTTAGAGGCAGAACCGGTTAGAGCCAGAGCCAGTTAGAGGCAGAACTGGTTAGAGGCAGAACCGGTTAGAGGCAGAACCGGTTAGAGGCAGAACTGGTTAGAGGCAGAACCGGTTAGAGGCAGAACCGGTTAGAGGCAGAACCGGTTAGAGCCAGAGCCAGTTAGAGGCAGAACTGGTTAGAGGCAGAACCGGTTAGAGGCAGAACCGGTTAGAGGCAGAACCGGTTAGAGCCAGAGCCAGTTAGAGGCAGAACCGGTTAGAGGCAGAACCGGTTAGAGCCAGAGCCAGTTAGAGGCAGAACCGGTTAGAGGCAGAACTGGTTAGAAGCAGAACCAGTTATAGGCAGAACCAGTTATAGGCAGAACCGGTTAGAGCTGGCTGTCACCAACGGTCACGGAACCAGAACCATCTCAGCCTTATCGATCCGTCTGTCATACAGGTGTGGAGAGGCTTGTGGATCATCTAAAGAAGCACAGCATCCCCATCGCCGTGGCAACCAGCTCAGACGCTGTGACCTTCCAGTTGAAGACCTCGGCGCACGCGGACTTCTTCGCTCAGTTCGACCACGTGGTTCTGGGCGACGACCCGGACGTGAAGCAGGGGAAACCGGAACCGGACTCTTTCCTGGTGTGTGCCGCCAGATTCAGCCCCCCAGCCCCCCCCCACAAGGTAAGACCACACATCGGCTTCTGGAGACCTGATAGTGGAGTGGGTCAGGAGGAGGGAGCTGCTGATTGGTCTCCATGGAAACAGCCCACCACTTATGATGTCATAGCTTTCTAAGCCTCTGACTGGTTGGGTCTCCGCCTCAAACATTGCCTCATCAGAGGAACCAATGACCAGAGAGGAAAACGAAAATGAATAACAGGGACAGAGTGGGATTCATTCAGTGATAACAACCCACTGAGCCTACGGGCACAATCTGAAACCTGTTTTAGGGACTGATGATAGCAGCCATTTAATGGGATGATAACATGGCTGGCTCTCTGCGTCTTCCCTCTAGTCCTTCACCGCCGCCTCATCAGGTTTTTCTGTCTCGGTTTCAACCTGCCGCTATAGAAGTAAATACCATCAAAAGCAGCTTTAATAGAACTTTTATCTGTGTATACCATGTTAGACAATGTTTTATCATCATGAAATTTACCATAAGATAAACTTTGACATTTTGGAAGTACACATTATAAATATTTCCTAATGACTATACATCTGAACATAAATGAGTAACTTAGTGATGATGCAGTCAGATACTTGAACCTGCAATGGTCTGATCTCTCCTGCCTCCGCCCTCATGGAGACGTCCTGATGAAGGGAAGGGCCTTGGATCCCAGATCCACCTTTAAAGTCTCTTTCTGCTCATCCTCTACTTCAGCTCTTCTCTAATGGCTGATTTTATTCCTTTCACTAGTGCAGAATCAGATGCGTTCCCTTGAAAATGATGGAGGAGCTGAGCAGGAAGTTGCCCTGCTGATAAGTTTAGGGAGTTTTCCTCAGACTTCACAGGTGTAGCTGCCTTCATGATCTCCTCATGTAGGAGTTTATCTTCATGCACCTGCAGCAGCTTTGGTGTTCATCCTCATCCCAACAAATGGGCAACATTAGGAGGTTTCCAGTGGGTGATTTGATGGTGGAATGTGGGTAAAGCACCTGAAACATGCCAGTTAGCTTAGCTGTGATGTGAGCTGGGTCTTTGGTTGGTAGGCTCCACTCATCCAGCACCATTAACTCTGCCATGTTGGTCCCTGTGTGGCCCCCAGGCATGCCCCGTGTTTCCCTTCAGCTCCCAGTCCTCAGTAATGAAAGGACATGAGATCGTCACGTATGATTCTGTGGCTCCAGACGTCCATCCATGGCATGGAAGGGCAACTCTTGGACCTAGAGGAGTTTTGATACGTTCTTCGACTGCTTCATGCTTTGGCATCGCTATTTCAGTAATACAGCAACGGGTTGGGATAACGGACAGTCCAGTGTATTTGCCATGTAGGGAAAGCCTCTATTATCAGCCAGTTAATTCATTAGTCCAGGTGGATGAAACGCTGCAGTGATTCGGCAATCTTTATGGTACGGGGAGAGGTACAGTAGCAGCCAATCAAAAAGGCCCTTCCCTGAAAGAAAAAAAGTGGCCCTTCCCAGTCAAAAACTAGTAAAACGCCAACTAAAAGGCAGCCGAACTGCCGATTGGCAGCCAAGCCGCGCCGGTATATAGCAGCCAATCCGTGCCCATTTAGGACAGCCCACTTTTACATCCCAGGAAAACAACTTCTGATTTTAGAGTAGCTCCTAATACCCACAGCCGCTCTGAAACACGGCCTAATCATTTCCAAATGAATCTACATCTCAGCACTTGATGTCATCCAACTTTTATTAGAGGCCAGTTTGTTGAGGAGCAGTCCAGTGAAGGAGAAGTGATTTAGGGGAGGCTTCCACTGAGAGGTGGTAGAGCAGGTTCCCACACAGACGGAGAATACCCTACAGATAATGATGCTGCAAGCCACCCGCCCGCTCTTCTTTTATTGCCTGTCCTCCTCCTTAAACCATAAAGGTAATAAAGAATCAGCAGCGTAATCTGTAATGAAGAAGAAAACTGTATGGTGTTCAGGAGGTCTCTGTGGACCCCAGACGCTCGTTAATTCCTTTTATTGTGGGTAGGAAATGTTAAAGGTAGAGCAGTGAAGCTTCAGCTATGGAAAATTAAACTCCATAAATCAACCGGTCAACATAAAGGTAAAGGATAATGGAGATGCAGTGGATAAGTCTCCATAATTAGAAGATCTCCGGAAAGCTCCAGCTTGGAATTCATATTTTGTTCTGATACTTTAAGATGTGATTTAAGATGTTAGGCCCTACATGCTGTGTGTTAGTACAATAGATGAAAGAGTGATTCGAGCTCTAATCATGGTCAAACAGTTAATTCTGCACATTAATGGAATAAATTCACCACAACTTCTGTTCAAAATATAAGAGTTTACTGCTTACTGCTGTTTATGAGCCAAGCTTGTGTTCTCTTCTCTGGTCATCATGTCAAGATGAAAAACACAAAGAACGAAGAACCCATCATGTCCAAAAACCATGATCACATGGCACACAGCACCACAAGACTGTGATGATGGTGATGGTGATGATGATGATAATGGTGGTGATGATGATGAGGATGATGATGGTGGTGATGATGATGAGGATGATGATGATGGTGGTGATGAGGATGATGGTGATGATGATGAGGATGATGATGATGGTGGTGATGATTGTGATGATGAGGATGATGGTGATGATGAGGATGATGATGATGGTGATGATGAGGATGATGGTGGTGATGATGGTGATGATGAGGATTATGGTGATGATGATGATGATGATGGTGGTGATGAGGATGATGATGGTGATGATGGTGGTGATGATGATGAGGATGATGATGGTGGTGATGATGATGAGGATGATGATGATGGTGGTGATGATTGTGATGATGAGGATGATGGTGATGATGAGGATGATGATGATGGTGGTGATGATGGTGATGATGAGGATGATGGTGGTGATGATGGTGATGATGAGGATTATGGTGATGATGATGATGGTGGTGATGAGGATGATGGTGGTGATGATGGTGATGATGGTGGTGATGATGGTGATGATGAGGATTGTGGTGGTGATGATGATGAGGATGATGGTGGTGGTGATGATGATGATGATGATGATGATGATGGTGGTGATGATGGTGATGATGATGATGATGATGGTGGTGATGATGATGATGAGGATGATGATGATGGTGGTGATGATTGTGATGATGAGGATGATGGTGATGATGATGATGATGATGGTGGTGATGATTGTGATGATGAGGATTATGGTGGTGATGATGATGAGGATGATGGTGGTGATGATGATGAGGATGGTGGTGATGATTGTGATGGTGATGATGATGGTGATGATGAGGATTGTGGTGGTGATGATGATGATGAGGATGATGGTGGTGGTGATGATGATGATGATGATGATGATGGTGGTGATGATGGTGATGATGATGATGATGGTGGTGATGATGATGATGATGATGGTGGTGGTGATGATGATGAGGATGATGATGATGGTGGTGATGATTGTGATGATGAGGATGATGGTGGTGATGAGGATGATGATGATGGTGGTGATGAGGATGATGGTGGTGATGATGATGATGATGATGGTGGTGATGATTGTGATGATGAGGAATATGGTGGTGATGATGATGAGGATGATGGTGGTGATGATGATGAGGATGGTGGTGATGATTGTGATGGTGATGATGATGGTGATGATGAGGATGATGGTGGTGATGATGGTGATGATGATGATGATGATGATGGTGGTGATGATGGTGATGACGAGGATGATGGTGGTGATGATGGTGATGATGATGGTGGTGATTATGGTGATGATGATGAGGATGATGATGATGGTGATGATGGTGGTGATGATGATGATGGTGGTGATGATGGTGATGATGGTGACGATGGTGGTGATGATGATGATGGTGATGATGAGGATGATGATGGTGATGATGGTGGTGATGATGATGATGATGAGGATGATGGTGGTGATGAGGATGATGATGGTGGTGAGGATGGTGGTGATGATGATGGTGGTGATGATGATGAGGAAGATGATGGTGGTGGTGGTGATGATGGTGGTGATGATGGTGATGATGATAATGATGATGGTGGTGATGATGGTGGTGATGATGATAATGATGATGGTGATGATGATGATGAGGATGATGATGATCATGTTGATGGTGATGATGATGGTGATGATGATAATGATGATAATGATGATGGTGATGATGATGATGATGATGATGATGATGATGATGAGGGTGGTGATGATGATAATGATGATAATGATGATGGTGATGATGAGGATGATGATGATCATGTTGATGGTGATGATGATGGTGATGATGATAATGATGATGGTGATGATGATGATGATGATGATGATGATGAGGGTGGCGTCTTTTTGGGTTTTGGGACTGAGAACCGCCTCTGGAGAAGGTTCTGCTTCAGTTCTAGGTCCAAATTGGTTCTGATCCATTCTGGGTTCTCCTGGCTGAGTTCCCTCCTCATTAGCCTCCCCATGATGCTGCCTCCACCGTGCCTAATCCTTGTAGCAACCAGCTAGACTCTAACCTCTGAAGCATCACATCCAGCTTCCTTATTGGACCGGTGGTTGTGGTAGATTGATCAGAACCAGAGCAAAGGATGCTAGATCAGGTTTCAGAGCTGCCGCTACCCGAGGTGTGTGTCCCTTTAAGAGGCTGAAGGAGGTTTCCCTGCACCAATCAGAAGCTGTCTCTCCTCTCTCTCCCAGTGCCTGGTGTTTGAAGACGCCCCCAACGGCGTGAAGGCGGCGGTGGCTGCAGGGATGCAGGTGGTGATGATTCCTGACGCCAACCTGGACCCCGGCCTGACCCTGGGGGCCACGCTGCGCCTGAGGAGCATGGAGGAGTTTGAGCCGCAGCTCTTTGGCCTTCCTGGGTACGACTGAGTAAACATCATGGTTTCTACTGGTTCTCCTCTGGAAGGAGGAGGAGCTTCCTGCCAGCGTGGCTAAGGAACATGGAGGAGGAGCTTCCTGCCAGCGGCGACCATACCATGAGGGCGTGGCTAAGGTACATGGAGGAGGAGCTTCCTGCCAGCGTACCATGAGGGCGTGGCTGAGGAACATGGAGGAGGAGCTTCCTGCCAGCGGCGACCATACCATGAGGGCGTGGCTGAGGAACATGGAGGAGGAGCTTCCTGCCAGCGGCGGCCGTCCCATGAGGGCGTGGCTAAGGTACATGGAGGAGGAGCCTCCTGCCAGCGTACCATGAGGGCGTGGCTGAGGAACATGGAGGAGGAGCTTCCTGCCAGCGGCGGCCGTACCATGAGGGCTTGGCTAAGGTACATGGAGGAGGAGCTTCCTGCCAGCGTACCATGAGGGCGTGGCTAAGGAACATGGAGGTCTTTGGATGAAGCTCTGCCTCTCCAGATGGAAACCAGTCTTGTTTGTCTCTAATAAAGCTGTTCTTTAAAGTTTATTATTTCGTCTAACCATCAGGGTGTGAATGAGTGAATGTGGGTGTGTCTCCTGACTTGAAAAAGTTCTATATAATTACAGGTCATTTACCATTTAATGACGGGTCATAACAGGTCAGAGGGATTATTTAGGGGATTAATCCCTAAAACCAGATCTTTACCACAAACCATCAGTTTTGAACCTTTTTAGATGAAATCTAATCTGTCCAACATTTGCTTAAAGCCAGAATAATCATATTGATTTCTGTTTCAGATTATTAATCCCTCTGTAGAGATAATCCCAGGTAATGATGTCATAGCTCCAGTCCTGGGGGGTCCATATCCTGCATCTTCCCTAACTGCTGGACCTCGTGTCCCGTCTGAGGAGCCTGCTGGCAGGCTGGAGCGGAACATCTGCAGACCTTCTGCTCTGACGATACGGGAAGGACCTTAATTTCTCAGAGCACGGCCCCAACAAGGAGCTACGGTGGTGGCAGCATAGTGCTGTGGGTCGTTTAACTGCAGGAGGAACTGTTCTCTTCACTGAGACGATGACAACATGAGGGGAGAACCCTGTGATTAAGCAGGAGGCTAAAGCTCTGATGGAAGCTTTCCAGAATCAGCTGGAGATTCTGGCCCCCAGTAACTCCAGTCAGATTTAATGGGCCCCCAGTAACTCCAGTCAACTTACTGGGCCCCCAGTAACTCCAGTCAACTTACTGGCCCCCAGTAACTCCAGTCAGATTTAATGGGCCCCCAGTAACTCCTGTCAGCTTAATGGGCCCCCACTAACTCCAATCAGTTTACTGGCCCCCAGTAACTCCAGTCAGATTTAATGGGCCCCCAGTAACTCCAGTCAGATTTAATGGGCCCCCAGTAACTCCAGTCAGATTTAATGGCCCCAAGTAACTCCAGTCAGATTTAATGGGCCCCCAGTAACTCCAGTCAGCTTACTGGCCCCCAGTAACTCCAGTCAGATTTAATGGGCCCCTAGTAACTCCTGTTAGCTTAATGGGCCCCCAGTAACTCCAATCAGATTTAATGGGCCCCTAGTAACTCCTGTTAGCTTAATGGGCCCCCAGTAACTCCAATCAGTTTACTGGCCCCCAGTAACTCCAGTCAGATTTAATGGGCCCCCAGTAACTCCTGTTAGCTTAATGGGCCCCCAGTAACTCCAATCAGTTTACTGGCCCCCAGTAACTCCAGGCAGATTTAATGGGCCCCCAGTAACTCCTGTCAGCTTAATGGGCCCCCACTAACTCCAATCAGTTTACTGGCCCCCAGTAACTCCAGTCAGATTTAATGGGCCCCCAGTAACTCCAGTCAGATTTAATGGGCCCCCAGTAACTCCAGTCAGATTTAATGGCCCCAAGTAACTCCAGTCAGATTTAATGGGCCCCCAGTAACTCCAGTCAGCTTACTGGGCCCCCAGTAACTCCAGTCAGATTTAATGGGCCCCTAGTAACTCCTGTTAGCTTAATGGGCCCCCAGTAACTCCAATCAGTTTACTGGCCCCCAGTAACTCCAGTCAGATTTAATGGGCCCCCAGTAACTCCAGTCAACTTACTGGGCCCCCAGTAACTCCAGTCAGATTTAATGGGCCCCCAGTAACTCCAGTCAACTTACTGGGCCCCCAGTAACTCCAGTCAACTTACTGGCCCCCAGTAACTCCAGTCAGATTTAATGGGCCCCCAGTAACTCCTGTCAGCTTAATGGGCCCCCACTAACTCCAATCAGTTTACTGGCCCCCAGTAACTCCAGTCAGATTTAATGGGCCCCCAGTAACTCCAGTCAGATTTAATGGGCCCCCAGTAACTCCAGTCAGATTTAATGGCCCAAAGTAACTCCAGTCAGATTTAATGGGCCCCCAGTAACTCCAGTCAGATTTAATGGGCCCCTAGTAACTCCTGTTAGCTTAATGGGCCCCCAGTAACTCCAATCAGTTTACTGGCCTCCAGTAACTCCAGTCAGATTTAATGGGCCCCCAGTAACTCCTGTCAGCTTAATGGCCCAAAGTAACTCCAGTCAGATTTAATGGGCCCCCAGTAACTCCAGTCAGATTTAATGGGCCCCTAGTAACTCCTGTTAGCTTAATGGGCCCCCAGTAACTCCAATCAGTTTACTGGCCCCCAGTAACTCCAGTCAGATTTAATGGGCCCCCAGTAACTCCTGTCAGCTTAATGGGCCCCCAGTAACTCCAATCAGTTTACTGGCCCCCAGTAACTCCAGTCAGATTTAATGGGCCCCCAGTAACTCCAGTCAGATTTAATGGGCCCCCAGTAACTCCAGTCAGATTTAATGGGCCCCCAGTAACTCAAATCAGTTTACTGGCCCCCAGTAACTCCAGTCAGATTTAATGGGCCCCCAGTAACTCCAGTCAGATTTAATGGGCCCCCAGTAACTCCTGTCAGCTTAATGGGCCCCCAGTAACTCCAATCAGTTTACTGGCCCCCAGTAACTCCAGTCAGATTTAATGGCCCCCAGTAATTCCAGTCAGCTTACTGGGCCCTCAGTAACTCCAGTCAGATTTAATGGGCCCCCAGTAACTCCTGTCAGCTTAATGGGCCCCCAGTAACTCCAATCAGTTTACTGGGCCCCAGTAACTCCAGTCAGATTTAATGGGGCCCCAGTAACTCCTGTCAGCTTAATGGGCCCCCAGTAACTCCAATCAGTTTACTGGCCCCCAGTAACTCCAGTCAGATTTAATGGGCCCCCAGTAACTCCTGTCAGCTTAATAGGCCCCCAGTAACTCCAATCAGTTTACTGGCCCCCAGTAACTCCAGTCAGATGTAATGGGCCCCCAGTAACTCCTGTAAGCTTAATGGTTCCCCAGTAACTCCAGTCAGCTTAATTGGCCCCCAGTAACTCCATTCAGATGTAATGGGGCCCCAGTAACTCCTGTCAGCTTAATGGGCCCCCAGTAACTCCAATCAGCTTAATTGGCCCCTAGTAACTCCAATCAGCTTAATTGGCCCCCAGTAACTCCAGTCAGATATAATGGGTCCCCAGTAACTCCAGTCAGGTTAATGGGCCCCCAGTAACTCCTGTCAGCTTAATGGGCCCCCAGTAACTCCAGTCAGATATAATGGGTCCCCAGTAACTCCAGTCAGCTTAATTGGCCCCCAGTAACTCCTGTCAGCTTAATTGGCCCCCAGTAACTTCAGTCAGATGTAATGGGCCCCCAGTAACTCCAGTCAGCTTAATTGGCCCCCAGTAACTCCAGTCAGACATAATGGGTCCCCAGTAACTCCAGTCAGATGTAATGGGTCCCCAGTAACTCCAGTCAGCTTAATTGGCCCCCAGTAACTCCTGTCAGCTTAATGGGCCCCCAGTAACTCCAGTCAGCTTAATTGGTCCCCAGTAACTCCAGTCAGCTTAATTGGCCCCCAGTAACTCCAGTCAGCTTAATTGGCCCCCAGTAACTCCAGTCAGATATAATGGGTCCCCAGTAACTCCAGTCAGATGTAATGGGTCCCCAGTAACTCCAGTCAGCTTAATTGGTCCCCAGTAACTCCAGTCAGATATAATGGGTCCCCAGTAACTCCAGTCAGCTTAATTGGCCCCCAGTAACTCCAGTCAGATGTAATGGGCCCCCAGTGACTCCTGTCAGCTTAATGGGCCCCCAGTAACTCCAGTCAGCTTAATTGGCCCCCAGTAACTCCATTCAGATGTAATGGGCCCCCAGTAACTCCTGTCAGCTTAATGGGCCCCCAGTAACTCCAGTCAGCTTAATGGGCCCCCAGTAACTCCAGTCAGCTTATTTGGCCCCCAGTAACTCCATTCAGATGTAATGGGCCCCCAGTAACTCCTGTCAGCTTAATTGGCCCCCAGTAACTCCATTCAGATGTAATGGGCCCCCAGTAACTCCTGTCAGCTTGATGGGCCCCCAGTAACTCCAATCAGCTTAATTGGCCCCTAGTAACTCCAATCAGCTTAATTGGCCCCCAGTAACTCCATTCAGATGTAATGGGCCCCCAGTAACTCCAGTCAGCTTAATTGGCCCCCAGTAACTCCATTCAGATGTAATGGGCCCCCAGTAACTCCTGTCAGCTTAATGGGCCCCCAGTAACTCAAATCAGCTTAATTGGCCCCTAGTAACTCCAATCAGCTTAATTGGCCCCCAGTAACTCCAGTCAGATATAATGGGTCCCCAGTAACTCCAGTCAGCTTAATGGGCCCCCAGTAACTCCAGTCAGCTTAATGGGCCCCCAGTAACTCCAGTCAGCTTAATGTGTCCCCAGTAACTCCTGTCAGCTTAATGGGCCCCCAGTAACTCCAGTCAGCTTAATTGGCCCCCAGTAACTCCAGTCAGATATAATGGGTCCCCAGTAACTCCAGTCAGCTTAATTGGCCCCCAGTAACTCCAGTCAGATATAATGGGTCCCCAGTAACTCCAGTCAGATGTAATGGGTCCCCAGTAACTCCAGTCAGATATAATGGGTCCCCAGTAACTCCAGTCAGATTTACTGGGTCCCTAGTAACTCCAGTCAGCTTAATTGGCCCCCAGTAACTCCAGTCAGATGTAATGGGCCCCCAGTAACTCCTGTCAGCTTAATGGGCCCCCAGTAACTCCAGTCAGCTTAATTGGCCCCCAGTAACTCCAGTCAGATATAATGGGTCCCCAGTAACTCCAGTCAGATGTAATGGGTCCCCAGTAACTCCAGTCAGATATAATGGGTCCCCAGTAACTCCAGTCAGATTTACTGGCCCCCAGTAACTCCAATCAGTTTACTGGCCCCCAGTAACTCCAGTTAGATGTAATGGGCCCCCAGTAACTCCTGTCAGATTTAATGGGCCCCCAGTAACTCCAGTCAGATTGAATGGCCCCCAGTAAGGGGCTTTCAGGTCCTATCAGCTGACGAAGAAGGAAACCTGATGGTGGCGCTGTACCGAGAGACGTTGGACTGACCTAAAGGTGGATTAGAGACGTTCCTGTTGTTGGACCGTGGGAAGAAAGAACCTCTCAGGCTCAGGGAGAACAGACCCAGGCTGGGATCTGAACCAGCAACCTCTGAGCCTGGAA